TTAGGGAGGAGGGAGAAAATGGTGGCCACTGGTATAAAAATTTTCATTATTTTAGTTTCTCCATTATTTTAAATCTTTTTTTTTTTTTTTTTGCCAATAATTAAATCTTGATGCCTAGACTGGTCCTTAATCTCTTTATCCCTTCTCATAAAATATGGAGGAGCAGAGTTCACTGCTTTGCCCCCAGGGAGCTCTTGCTCTCCATCTCACCCTCCGAAGAAAGCTGTCACTCATTCCCTTAACTGTTTTCCAGTTCTAAAATCTCTCTGTTTTCCTCTTTCTTTGGATAACTTTTGCAGACAAGGAAGAAAACAGTCCGAGGAACAAATAGATATAGAAAATATGGAGGAGGCACAGAGGTGTGTTTAATCAGAGGGAGGACAGCCAGGTGTGGAAGAGGAGGAACTGAGAAGGCAGCAGGAGCACAGTGAGGACATGTTGTTTCCCTGGGATGCCAGTCCATGACAACAGCAGAGACGCGGCAGGGCAGGTGCAGTTATGGGACAACCGAAAAATTATTCTGACTTCAGCATTTTAAACAAAGTAGAAAGGGAGTGGGACTCAAGGTAGAAAGCCAGATACTCACTGATGAAGAAAATGTCACCCTCAGTCTAAGTAAGGTCTGGCAAAGCCTCGATGTATGCTATCTTTGATTTTGGATACTCAGAATTAGAGTCCTGCGTTACAATGACTCTAAGAGAGTCGTGCTTCTTGTTCAAGACAAGGGCAACCTTAGATCAGAAAGTGAGGTGAACTAACAGAACTAGTTCTCAGAGCTCATAGAAGCCGAGTTTTTGGTAGAGGAGGTTCCAGCTGGAATATGGAGCTTGTACAGATGGTACAAGTTCTGCCCTCTTTTTGCCACAAGAGGATTACCAAAGCAATAGAAGCTGAGAGTAAACCAAACCAAACACCTTTTCCATCATGTGATGGTGAAGCCCTCTCTACTCCAGGAATCCAGTTTCCCCTGGATTATTTCTTTCTTCCTGCTGTTGTATATCAGTGGTCAGGAAGCCATTTATTGCCTGGAGGCCAAGACTTTCCAGGAGCTGGGCTGCCCAGCCTGGTTACCACATAACCCGCTTCTGCGGCTGCTGTCAGCCTCTTCCAGCATCTATCTTGGTTCCCTGTGACCACGCGACACATGTGGTCCTGGCATGCCTCCAGGCAATTTGCAACTGCAGATATGTGTTTGATTTAATAGGAGCAGACACCTCCTTTCCTGCTTCCCAGAGTTTAACCTAAAGTTACCCTTTGGAAGGGCAGGGCAGGTAACTGGGGTATGACTCAACCATTGTAACTATTTTTATATTTATTTTTAACTCTTAAAGGTTCAGGACACACATGGGATGGTGGACCATAGAGACAGGTCCCAGGAGATTATATCACAGCCAAAACACTCTAAGACACAGTGCAATCAGAATCACTTCACTTTTATTATTAACAAACATAATCTCAGATCAAAGTACAACTAGCTTCAGACTTGATATTCCAAAATTACTCTTAGATAACCAATAACTACTATCTCACATTAAAATGGGAAGAGAGAAAAAAAAAAAACCCACTCAGGCAAGGAAAAGGTACCCTGCATAAGAGACACATCCATCTCCAATGGCTGCATTTAATCTCTTGAGAACCATGTAGGCTAATAATGACATCCAGACATATGTGCATGTCAAGTTTGTGGTGGATACTGCTACTAGAAAAGTCTGTGGGGCTTGAGAATTCCTCTGAAGATCCCAAAATGCTTAATAATAAGCTTTAGTCATACTTCAAAACTGTCCTTTGAGGTAGGTCAGTATTATTATCATACCACATTTTAACAGAAAATAAAGCAAGGCACATTATAACTGAGTGATTTGTCCAGTGCAACAATTTCAGTGTTCCTCCTCAAAGTTCATGTGTTGGAACGTTAATCCCCAAAGCAACAAATTGAGAGGTGGGACTTTAAAGAGACGTGATTAACTCAAGAGGGCTCTGAATGGATTAATGACATTGTCTGGGGAGTGGGTTTGTTATAAAAGCGAGGGTCACATAGCAAGTTGATGGCATCGGGTTAGAAGGCCCAGACTTTGCCCACTAGTGTAACAGGGTCACCTTGCTTTGTTTACCTTTTAGACTTACCCTTTGAGCTACATACAGTACACTGAAGATATTAGCAAACCAAGCATACTTTCCACTATAAGTCTAGTACCACCATTCCATGTTTCAAATATCAAATACATTCAAATTGCTTCTACTCTCCTTCAAATTTGGGCACTTGATAACACTCCAGCCAGGCTTCTATTGATTTAGGGCACTGCTGCAGGCTTTCAAGGGTAAAGGACTGCTCAGAGGGAACCAGGAGGAGCATAACCACAGGATTAGAAAAGAAGTAAGGCACCCGAATCTGTTGTCAGCACACCCATAAGGCAAGGATTGAGTAATTAACTCTTGATGAGAGTTTCTCATTAATGTGTCATTTGAATTGAGCTTTAGAATCTTGAAGAGTGTTCTTACTGAACCAGCGTGCCCCTACCAACACATCTACAGAGTTACTGGGGACCTCACCCTGAGGTCACCATACCCATGTGTGTAGGGACATGGCATAGATCAGAACCATGGAACAGGATGAGAAGAAAAGAGAAAGGTTGAGTTTATTGTTTATATATTATCAAGCAGACATTTGATGACCTGTAGAATTAAAACCATTCAACAGACATTTCCGGTGATAGGCACAGAGTAGGCAGCTCTTCATGAGGTGATTTTCTACTAAAATGAACAGCTTAAGGACAGGTTGCCTTACTGCAGGCTGGAAGGCCCTGCTTCCTCCCATGGCTAGATCTCAGTGGACAGAGCATTTGGGATTGCACATTGCTGATCCTGGTAGAGCAGAGTCAGGCTTCTGCTTTAAGGACTGAGGTTCAGGGCAGGACAGGTCCATGGTCTTCAAATAGTGGTGTTCTGTGTTTTTCTAGACTTCTTCTATCTTACTTTCTGCCCTAGGTTGTGTGGTAGGGGATGTTGATTAGTTTGCTGAACAGACACAAATATTTTCAGCAAAGTTCATGGCATCTCATATCCCACATTTCAGCCAAAGGTTTACAGCAGACTCTGGCTCCAGGTTGGGGCCCCCTTTCAAAACGAGGCACTTGGGACTTGCCCTTATTTCTTGTGCTTCCCAGTGAAGACTATGCGTCCTCCTCCTTCTACAAGGATTGAGTGTCCCCTGGGAGCAAGCAGTCTTACTGAATATGCAGGAGGCACTGAGCATGCTCTCTGTTCCAACCCAGAGAGAGGAGACTAACTTCTAACCCTGCTTTGCTCTGAGATTGGCTCACTGGTATGGTGGGCATTTGGCTTCACAGGAGACTGAAGCTGTCTGAGCCAGGAATATTTCTAGAGCATTCACTACACTTTCTGAAGTTATCAGTGTGGCACAGGCACAGAGGGGTGAAGTTGGAGAGGATCTGGAGACCAGCAAAGAGACAGTCAGCTCTCCTTGCTAAAGAGAAACAATAGTTCTGTGCTCATGAGATTTGTGTCCACAGGACAGGGAGCTGCCTAGATAGCAAGTTCTCACTTCCCTGAACAGACATAGGAGGCTGACTCTTCAAACAAGAAGAAAACATTGGAGAACAGAGTGAACCAGCAGAGGAAAGATGACAGATGGAGTAGAGCCAGAAAACTAGAAAGAATTAAGAAATTCCTGACCCACCCAGGCAGTCCTATATGCAATCTGATGGTCACAAAGCAAGGATGCATGAAAAGGTACAACACTAGGGGAGGAAGCCTATGTTTTATTCTATGTAAGGAGAAACTGTAATGAATAAATGGACCCACTATCTAACTCAGTTTACTAGAACACCCAACAAATTACTCAGTGACTTTTGAACCCTTGGGCAATGTGCTGTCAGAGCTCTTCCTTTGGAAAGTGATCTCTCAGGAGCTGCCTATAGACCCTGCCCCTCCAACTGTCCATCTCCTGCCCAGCAGTGGGAGGAATGGGTAAACCAATGGGCTCCTCTTCTCCTTCAAGCTTTTTTAGCATTTCTTTTTCAGAGGGAAATACTCCCAGTGAATATTTTCATGCTGCAATACAAATTATGTCTATACACGTTTAACCCTGACCCAAGTTCACCTGCTAAAAATCTTTCCATTGTTTGGATGTTTGGAAATGCCACAGCCATCCTATTACTACAAGGGCAGTGACCAAAATCCTGAAGATAGCACAGCAGAAAGATGAAAGAAGTTGGACAAGCAGCTCACGGAATCCTCACAACTCAATGAGCTCTTGCTGTATCCATCACTTCCGGACACAGTCGACAACTCATTCATCTATAAAATAACAAATCTCCTTAATACAGGGGGAATTTTTTTTTTTTTTCCCCAGAAGAGATCACTTTTCCTAAGAACTATATGCTTCCCATTTATCCTCAGTCTAAACTATATTGAGACATTAAGATGTGCTGCTGTAATCTAACATTGCCAACCTGCATGGCCATCCTCTAATCAGTCAGGAGAGAAAGGATGCATACTGGGTGGAGAGGCTCCAGGTCTCTGCTAGGTAGGCAGCTGGGTCTGACTACGAAAAGAACTTTCCCACCTCAACCACACCCTTACTTAGAAATCATATCCAGCATGCTCACTCTCCCCTGATGAATGACCTACTTTGCAAGCTCTGTGATAAATAGTTATTTTCATCTTCCATCTAGCAAAGCGTATAATGACAGTTAATGAGCACTTTTGAGAAGATTTTGTTGCATAGCTAAGTGGAGCCACCTGCCTTAAAGTTCAGGAGAGATCAAGCATGAGAGTATCTGAAGTAAATCCTTTGCTTTTAAGCTCTTGGAAGATTGCTAGGCTTTTACATTGGACACCGACCTGCGGCTGACCAGATGCTTGCCTGGGAGGCAATAGGGAGAAGAGAAAGGAAGATGATAGGAACCAAGCAAAGAAAAGGACAATGGAAATAAAGACAGAGAAGAAATGAATATTGTTTTAGCATCAAAGAGGGGAGTTGTTGCCCTTCAGTACTTGTCATTTACTGAACCGGAATGTGTTAAGGTCATCATCTTTAGTATCCAGTAGCATTACTCAGTAGTTAATTAACAGAACATTAAACCTCTACTGGATTTTGGAACAGGACCCTGGACAACCTCAAACTCAGCCGCTCTTAGAGCTTCCATCTCCAGTTCTTTTAATCCTGGCCAAGACAGTGGCCTTGGATACTTTCTTCCGGTCGTAAGCCAGGCCGAGGACAGCCATGCAATCAATGAAGAACGTGGTAAAGTTGATGTGCCAGCGGTACTCACTGGCAGAGTAGTCATAGGGGAAGGTGTGGTGGTAGTTGTGGAAACCCTCGCCTGGAACAAACCAAGGAAAGAAGTTATGAATCTCGGTGGAATTCCGTTTTCCTCATCTTGGCAACCTCTTACCCAGCAGGGCCCTAAAAACCTCAGAGAAAGCTGCTGTTGCTGAGTGAATAAATGAACCCTGTGTCTTCTACTTAAAACAAATAGATGCCCTCAGAGTCATCATAAGCAATGAACCAAGAGGATCTGATCACCCATGTTTATCTGGGAGCCTTTGTGATAAGGAGTTTCTATTGGAGAATAAGAAACTAATACTGTTGAGAAAGGATTTTATACTAGAAAATACCATAGTTCCACTAAATACTGGCCTACAACCCCACAGGCACTTTGCCTCTGTACAAGTGTTGAGGTGAGGAGGGGAGAGTCCAGAGGAAGAAATTGTAGCAGTGCTGCTAACAAGGTGAGTAAGCACCTTTCCCCACTGTACTGGTGCCCGTTCAAGGATGAGAAATTCCAATAGAATGGGTGGCAACAGCCATTTCCCACATCAACCACACCCTTACTTAGAAATCATATTTTGGATGTTTGGAAATGCCACAGCCATCCTATCACTACAAAAAGAAAAGGAGGCTCAACCAGAGGCCAGAATTTCCACAACCATGGCTGGTTCACAGTAGGCTGATCTGGATCCTAATCCTGAGTTTTGACCCTGGGGTGAAAAAACAGAACCACTCTGAAAATACTTAGAGATTTCCTGTAAGCTGAGATTCTGAGAAATCCTTGCTAGAAAAAAAAAAAGAAAAGAAAAAAACAAAGAAAGAAAAAAAGAAAGAAAGAAAGAAATCCTGGATTCAGGACCATTTCGCTATTGGGTAAAAAAACAATTCTGGAGGGACTCTTTTTTGTCTAAGTCAATTCCAATACTAATAACACTGACCCTTATCAGAGTTGGAAAAAAGAGAGGTCCTTTATTTATTAGTTAGTATAAAAAATAGATAGAATAGCAATGATACGAACAACTAGCAAGTGAAGGAAATTCTACCAAGTCAATTACTACATCCAAGGCATCTCAAATTATGCACTATCTCTGTACACACGTTGACCACCCAGTGAACTGGGAAGCAGGAGTGCAGAGTGGGGCACAGGGAACACCAAGACTCAGGGTGTTGATAGAGGATTGCTAACTTCCACATATGGGTTCAGAGCAAGACCTCAACAAGCCCAAAGGTATCAGATTTAAAAGAGGATAGACATACAGATAGAGAAGGGAGAGGAGAGTCAATGGGACACAACAGGGACAGTAAGAGATAGCCGAAGACTCTAGGGGAAAGTCACCTTTATCAGAGAAAAGATGAACATGTGGCCATGGGGAAAGCAATTCCAGAAGCAAAGAGATTAGAATGGCAGGAAACAGAGCTGGAAGAGAGCAAAGGGTAAGGTGAAGAGGCCAAAAGAGCAGGTTTGGAGTTTCATTTATAATTATGGGACACATCTCAATCTAGGTTCTTACATTTCTATGATTTGTACGCATAGGTCATTTATTTCAAATATGGTGTCTGCACCAGGAAAACTAACTTGAGGCCTTGGTCAAAGTCTATATGCACTTGGAATGAAGGACAGGAAAAGGTAGAGTCTGATGGTGGAACTGTCAAACTCTCTGCTTTCCTGGAGGATTCCCCCAGCACTATGGGAAAAGGGAGTTCCTAGCACACTGTAAGAACAGAAGACAGAAAAATAAAGGACATAAGGAGCGAGGGTGGCATGTGGGAGCACGGGCCACCAAGAGATGCACTGATTCCCCTCATGTTGGCATCAACAAATAATAAGGTATGGCCCACACTTGAAAGGTAGGGCACATTCAAGTACAGTGGAGAGAGAAAAATATTCTGTGGCATAAAATCTTTGAATTGAATTATAATTGTGATAAGGCGTTTCTATTGGAGAATAAGAAACTAATACTGTTGAGAAAGGATTTTATACTAGAAAATACCATAGTAGTCTACATTTTATACAGCATCTTTAAATATAAGACACTGGGCTTCTAAGTCATGCAGATGTCTCTAATTTTCTCTTTATGCATTCTCTGCCTCAAGACTACAAACCTGTAAAAGATGACTAGAAGAAAAAAGTCAACGGGGCTCAATGTAGGTAGGATTTAGAGATTGTTTTACAACTTAAAATCAAAAGCAGCCTTATTTTTCACTCTTTCCATTTTACATAAGAGTTGTTGCCACACTCCCAAAGGGATTTCACAGTGTCTTGCCCCTAGAACTATACTGAAGAAAAAAAAAAAAAAGACAGAGCTACAAAGTGGTCATAAAAATAGGTCATTTGGGTTCTTCCAGCTCCTAGCCAAATATCCTGATCAGGAAACCACTAGATGTGGTCATGCTATTGTCTTATGACTTACCCACAGCTCCCAGGGAAACCAGGATATTCTCCCGGGAGTTGATATTCTTGTCATAGGGGCGGTATCCATAGAGGTGGGCAGCACTGTTCACCAGCCAGGTGGCATTAAGCACTATGGTATATCGCAGTAAAGAGGCGACGTACAAGCTGTGTGCAAAAGTTTCACCCCAACAAAACCAGGGCACCAGTGTGGGCAGGATGAAGCACATCAACAGAACAGCGGACTTGTAGTACCTACATTGAGAGATCCCACAGTGAGTCAGTGGAGGGCTGTCATGCCTAAGTGGATTGTCCACTCACTGGACTGGGCTGTTTTTCTTCCTACTCTGTGAATACAGAGTGTCAGAAAAGAGCACGAGGGAATTGGGTGGAAGAACTTTTCAATGCATGTTATCCCAGTCTCTAGAGGAGGCAACAATGTGTTTAATGACTTTCCTAAGAAGGCCCCACTGGTAACCAGTGGAACAAATATGGAAACACCTGTATCCTGACTTGAAGTCCATTGTTCTTTTTCAGGAGACCATAAGGCCATGTTGGTTAAACAGATGAGCATCAAATCTCAAATTCATCAGCCAGTTCTGCAGCCTGGGCTGCTGTCCATCTGACTTCAGGAGCCTTCCTTTTGTCACAGTGTCATGCTTCCATTCTAGCTACTCCCTGTTCCCCGAAATTCTTTGCTCTACTTGTCCCTCAGAAGGCTCACTGAATATCCTTGGTCACCTGCAGGTCTCTGTCCTTTCAGAGGCCCTGTTCCATACTCTTCACTCCTGTGAAAGCCAGGTGATTGGCATTTTAAGGGAATGGATTGCCTACCTCCCTTCAGCAGTCACGTCTTTCACTTGTATGTCACTGTCATTCCTTGCCTCCAACTCCTTTCCATTGCTGCCACTGCTTCCCTAGCATGGATCCTTGCTACTGTCTAACCTGTGTCCCTGCCTCTTGTCTCTCTGGCTCAATGGTAACTTTCACCTGTCCTGAGAGCAGCTTCTCTGAAGCATGCCCTTGAATGTGCCACATGGCTGCAAAGGAGATGATTAGAGGTTCCCTGTTGCCCACTGAATAAAATCCTAAATCCACACTAGAATTGTACAGGAACTGCATGAGTCTCTGTAGTCCTTTTACCTGCCCCACTTCAAGAAGAAGGACATCCTTCATGGAACATGCTTGAGGCTTCTCTGCCTCATTCTGTTCTTTCTGTTTACATTATCACTGATCACTCATACTTGTGAAGATCTCTCATAACCACTTTCCTCTGCCCCCACTGAGCAATCTCCCTCCCTTTACACCTTTCATAGTACAGACAATATTCTACCCTGTATTGTGGTTATTTGGGTAGTTGGCTTAGCCCTTCAACCCCAAGAGGACACAAACTCCTTGAAGGAAAGAACTTAACTACATTATTTTTTGTGTCCATAACTATCCCAGGTCAGTGAGCATTTGCTGCATTTTAACAAGTTTCATTAAGATAGCTCAGAGAGAAAGGAACAGAGCCATAAACTGACTGAGGACCTGTGGCATGTTAAATACTGGATTTTAAATGAGTTTGAATTTACAAACCCAGTTCATCCTCAGCTTTTATTTTCTAAGACCTAAGGTAAAAGGTGGAGTCCTTAAGATTCAGGTGCCCAGGGCCACATCCCTAGTCCCATCTTCCCTTTACTCACCTCCTCTGGAACATCACCAGCTTCTCAGCTTTTAGGTCAGATAGGTCCAGGGTCGCCCCCTTCTCTTTGACAGCTGGGTGTTTGCGCACCAGCAGCCAACCCACGTGAGAGAAGAAGAAGCCACGGCGAGAGTTGTGAGGGTCAGCATGTGTTTCTGAGAACTTGTGATGGGCGCGGTGATCTCGGGCCCATTCATAAACATCGTTCTGGAGGGACAGAGAAGAGGAACACAGGCCTGAGGAGGGACGCCCTCATGGGAAAAATGCCATTCTTAAATGTATGTAAAGGGTCCATGGCTTTTGGCATGACCTCACACAGTCTGGCTCCAGAGGAGGCATAGAGGGGCCTGCCCTCTTCTGCACACTTGCCCTGAAGATCAGATGGAAAAGCAACTTACAGTATAGACCCAGGAATAGAACTGCCGCTTCCTGCAGGTTACAGGATGGGGAGAATACAGGTAAATCACCATGCTCAAATAATTTCACTAGGAGAAAACAGGGCAATTCTTGTAGCAAGGGAATGAGGCAGGTGGCTTCAGGCCCTGGGGTGCTGGCTTATGGGGAAAACTACAAGAAGTTCTATCTTGATGTGTTTGTAAGTGACAGCTTCAAGGGCAGCATGTAACTCATGACCATGACTGCATCTCCAAAGGACTTCTGGGCTTGTCTGGGGCTTTTTCCATTCCTTCAAAAAATGTTCCAATGTGTTTCTTCTTTCTCTTTGGCCCACAGAGACAACATCAGGAACCTTGAAGGTGTAAATTTCTAGGACCAGAGATGATTATCCAAATGTGGTTCCATACCTCAGATATTGCCAAGAAAAACAGGACTAATTTGTTTTTTCTTCTCCTCTTAAGCCTAATACCACGAGTTATCCTGTGCCCATTGCTATAATGTACCAGCTGTAAGAGTCCTCTACCCCAATTCCCTTCATTCTATTTCTGATATAAATTTGGGCCACAACCTATCCTCAATAGCTGACTTAGCTACCATAGAAATGTGGTCATGGTCATGAGGTACATACTGCCCTTGGGTGACAAGGTTGGCCCATCCACCCTCTAAGTGACTCAGATTCCTCATCTGTAAAAGGGAGCTAAATAATAGCACCTATCTCCTAAGATGTATCAGGACTTAATGAGTTCATCTATGTGAAGTGCATAGCATAGCCCCCAGCACACAATGCTATAGAAATGTGATCTTATTATCCACGACAACAAAGTTCCTGAGTCTCTTAGATAACATCATCCTCAAAAAAAAAAAAAAAAAAAAAGGTGGTGTCTGAAGATAGTCTCCCTAAACCAAGAGTATCCCCCACTCCCAGTGTCTGCCCAGGAAACCAGGTTCAGTGTGTGGCTATGTGATGTGGCCCCTTATGATAAAGGACCACAATAGCTGAACACACTGGTATCAAAAACAATCCTGTACCTCCAGAGCTTTGACTATTTTCCCCCTACTTCCCTTCCTATTGAAGTATTCTGAAGCATTCCATGTTTGAGCTTACACTTTAGGTGACCCCTGGAAACTGGAAAGGTCAGTGATGGTCCTGCTGAGGCTTCTCTCAGGGCATTGACACCCTCCATTCCACCCTAGGTCATCAACAAGGTAGAGATACAAAAGCCAAGCAGCACCCACTTCTCACCTGGAACGCCATGGTGTTGGCAATGATCAGGAAGAGCCGCAGGGGCAGCCGCGCTTTGTAAGTTCGGTGGCTCCACAGGCGATGAGCTCCTGCTGTGATGCCCAGACCACTGATTAAATAGTACACATAGGCTGCCAGGACAAGATGATAGGGGAGTCACCAACAGGAAAGTTCCATAGGGAAACATATCAAAGTAACTCTCCTATACCACTCATGTGCTCTTTAGGCTTTGGGTGAATATCCGCCTTACCTGAACCATAGGGCTGCCTTGGCATTCAAGGCCTGTGCCTTTTACTACTTGAAAAGTGACCACCACTTCCTAGCCTCTCCACCTACGAATGGAGACAAGTCAAGGATTCTCATGAACTAAGGAGGCAGGATGGCAAGATAGGAATAAAACTCTCACCACTGTGCCACTGTCATTGTCAAAGGTGGAGGTATTATCCAAGGTCTTGTCCAGTTTGACATTCAGCTTACCTTCTCGAAGATAATCAAATTATTCCTACAGAGCTCAGAACCCTATATACAAGGATTTTCTGAAGATAGCCATAGCAATCTGGGCACTGCTCAACTGGATGTAGTGGACACTAGGGGTAGCAATGTACCAGCTGGTGAAAAACTTTTAAGTATTGTACCAGGCAGTGTAATACTATCAGGGTAAGTCAGTCCTGCACACAGTCGTGTGTGCAGTGGCTCAAGCTTTATCACAGGTAGTTGTTAGTAACACCACACATTGCAGGTAAAGAAATAGATGGTTTAAAGGGTGCCTGTTTATTGAGCACTGTCTTGCCTCTGTTTCCTCTAGTTCTACAGGCTCACCAGGCACCAGATACAATCTCTAAAGGGCAAGTAGGCAGGTGTACCTATGTCTTCCTGTTTAGTAGCTCTAAGAGGCAGGGATTCAGACCTTGGGAGAAACTGTTAACAATGTTTCATTCCTAGGAGCCGGGATGGAAAGGATGATTTTAAGGAGCCACAGAATTTAGTTGGGTTGAAAATGGTATATATGGTAACAAATTATCCTGTGTTCTACAGCCAGAGATAAAGAGTTTCCTAAACAGCTCCTTTCTCTCCCCTCCCTTCCCTCCTGTACCCTATCCTTTTCCTCCCACAGGGTTCGCAGGAGAGTCAAAGAGATAGTGACTATACCAAGGAAAGTACTGGCCACATTCTCTCTGAGAGGGACTGGAGGCTCCAGCTGATATTTGGCCTCTGGCCATGTGGTAACTGAGATCTGATATGCATCACCCATACCTAGAAAAACCACAGTGAGCCAGGGCCCTGCAATCACCAGAAGGAAAGAAAGGGCTTTAGACAAAGCAGAAACACTCAGCTGAGAGGCCAGGAAGTATCATCATGGTGCATATGACCCTGGTTCATTGGCTCCTAAAGCATATGCCATCCCATCATAAGGGTAACTGGATCAGAATCCAGGCACTCTGGTGCCTGTTCTATGCATACTTGTCAGACTCTCAAGAAGGCTCAGTCAGTTAGATTCACTCTGACTTCCCCCAGAGGACTGTTAGTGTCCACATTGATGGTTAAGCAACATCTCACAGCTTTGCACTTTGGCCCTCAGCATTGCCAGAGACATCTCCTCAACCCTGCCCTAAGTGCTCTTCCAGAGTCTACAGACACAGAAGTCACTTGAAATAGCTGATTGAGGAGAAATGATGCAATGACACACAATGACCTACTTCAATAGGACCTTTTCAATCCTATAAATGTAGTGTTGTTGCCACTTAGTATCAGGTGATTCTGAGAAAGGGAATCTTCTCAGTTTCATTTCCATATGGCACCTAGAGAATTCTCCAAGACAAAGTTTAACTACCAGGACCAGATATAGCCACCTATAAGACCTAAGAGGCCTGGTGGGGACAGGCTAACACATGGCCAATCAGCCCTTCTACACCACTACCCTTCAAGAAAGTTGTCAGAAAGTTCCTCATGCCTCTTTGTTCTGAAAACTTCTGGTTGTCTCCTGGAGAGGGTGTCCTGGCTTCCTACTTCTCGGAGAGCAGCAATTGGGCCAGTGGGTCTCTAGACCTCCCTGCTCCCCCTTCCCTACTCGGGCTTTAGGGGCAAAGGTCAATCTGTCTGCAAAGCACATGCATGGGTCCAGGGGCTATCAGCCTCCAGCCATGGATCTCCAAAAATGCTAAGCTATGGGCAGGTCAGGGGAGAACTGGCAACCTCTCTCTCATTACAGCTGCCTAAGGAATAGGGAGGAGCAGGAATAGCAGCTGGTGTTAGAAGTTGTTAGGTCCTGGGCACTTCCTAGCCTCAGGAGAGAAGAGCAGGAGGAAATGGCAGAGCGGGGAATGGAACAGGAAGCATTTCTGCAACATTATTTCATTCTAAGCACATATTGCTGACTGGCATAAGCTGTATCCAGACCTACCTAGAGTGACAGAGCAACACATCTGTGCAGCCTGGGTCATGGCCTTATTATTTCCCCTCTATGACAAACCAGCCTGGTCTGGTCTGGGGTCAGGTCAGAATCTTATTGATAATCCTTTATGTTCTTCCTTTTTGCATGATCTCTCCTCATCAGCTTTCCTTTCCTACAACCCTGACTGTGCTTGGTGTGCAGTTCAGAAACTCTGGTCTAGCCCCAGGTTCTCAGTCACCCAGGCAGGCAGGACAGGGACAGGGAGCCAACTGACTCAAACAGAAAAGTTTTTGGGGGGACAGCTGCTTCTGTGCCACACACATATCTATACTTCAAAGCCCCCTGCCCATGGTCTCAGTGCTTGCTCCTCAGCACCCATGTTAAGGGACTCTGTAGAACCTACCTTCCTGCACCCCAATCTCACTAGGCTCTATTCCCAGGCCAGTCAGTCTCTCAGGCAACCAAAGACACTTGGCAGGCAAAACCTGAGGAGAGGAGCCTCTGCTCTGTGGAAGACCCCACCTTATTAAATATCAGTGAGAAACCTGGGGTACTGGTTCGGAATAAAGGAACCTGCTTACCCCAGATCCAAGTGTAGAACTTGCAGGTGGGAACCAGTATGACCCCATACAGGGCTCCCAGGTGCAGCAGGCCCATGAGGATGATGTTTCTCCAGACATACTCAAGCTTGGGTGTGGGACCCTCGGCATCCTGATAGCTGTGATCATATATATCATCTTTCATTTCAGGGCGGATATCTTCTGCTGAGTAAAGGGACATCTTCTCCAATTTTTGTTCTCCATCATGGAGACCCTCATTTGGAGGTGATCTGATGGTGGTGGTGGTCACATAGGAGCTGGAGATCTGAAAAGAGAAGTGGAGAGTCAAGAGAACGCAGAGGCTGGGGCAGTAAAGGACACTTGTTCTCTAATGCAGCTGGGGGTGGGGGGTGGTGTGCAGTAGAGGCACAGACCCTGCCTCAGTACCTAGGCTATGTGATGGTGGTAGGTATCTAGAGATGGAATAGGGGACGGTTTCCAGAAATTGCAGATGAATTGGGAGTTAAATCATAAGGTGAAGGAGCAGAAGGAGACAGGAGGGTAAACAGCTCGCACCCCTAGCAACACGCAAAGGAAACCCCATGTATGCAGGGGGTCTGAGCAGGACCAGAGTTTTCCTGACTTTAAAGCTCAAGAACCAAGAGTCAGGGAATAAATCCTCCAGAATGCAACACACACCCCGCCCTCAACCGAGGGCAGCAGAAAAGACGGCCCTTTCCTCACAGAAGCTCTTAATTGTCTCCCCCACTAACCAGTCGCCTACAAGCCCCATTCGCGCCCGCTACGCAGCGGGACGGAGGCCACTTCTGGGACGCTTACCTCCTGCAGCATGTGGGCGGGCATCTGGCTCTCGGGTGCTGGGATCGCCCTCCCAGGGCTGAGGCTGCGGAGCAATTCTGGCGCAGTTGAGACAGAGGATGGACTTCGGCTCAGGGGTCCGCTGGTGCGGGGCGTCGGTGGAGCTGCGCTCAGAACACCTCTCTACTGTGGCACGTGGATGGCTGTGCTGGCCCGACCCGCTGTGCGCGGATCTCTCTGGGCTCGAAATTTAAAGGGAAGAGTTAGCCTAGGGCGACCGTTTCCTCAAAACTCTTTGATCTGCTGCCAAAAGGGACAAAGTGAGCAGAGCTGCCTGGCCGAGACAGCCCCGCGTGGAAATAAGGGCGGGAGAGGGGAGGGGACAGAAAGTCGTGTAGCTCAGCCACGGGAGACACAGCGGGGGATACAGCCGACGCCAACACCACGCCGCCCCAGCCCCAGCCTCTGGGAAATGCTAATGAGACTCCTGTAAACTCTGGCCAGTCATTGGCCAAAGGGAATTTGGTGCCACCTCGTCCAGCCTTTGCCATTGGCTGGACGCAATCTGCTGTTCCCTTTGCTGCCAGCTCCTCGCTCCCTTCCCCTCCTTTTCTCCGTCTCCACTTTTCTTCTCTCAGTTCTTGGGGCTCTGTCCCACACCCCGCGATTTCGGATGCACCTGGGAGATTTCTCTCTGAAGGAAGGGGAGGAGTTGGTTCGGCACTGGGGGGTGGGTTACAAGTCTTGTACTGGTCCTCTGCTCACCACAAATGGTTGGTACTGCTGAAATTGCACTGGGAATAGTGGGGGGAGCCACGGTGGCGCCCAACACTCACAATTCCTTTCTGTCTTCCCTTTCCCCCAGACGCATAGGAGGGGAGACGTGGCTTCTACCCCGCAGTAGCCCAGAGAGGTCTGGTGCAGTCCGCCTCCTAAACTGGGAGCTCGGACTTGAAGCTCTGCCCAGTCCCCAAGCTCTGGGATGCTAACCTGAGACCGCCCGGGAACTCTGGCCACACGTACAAACTCGCACGGATCTGTGTGCCTACAAGGCAATACCCCGCGCAGTCACTGGGCACATTCTGCAGGGAAAGTCCACCGCCAGACAACAGTGGACAATCCAGTCCCTATGTCCACACCTCCAAAAATGCTTGCGGGACGGTTTGGCTATTCTTCTGATTGTCAGGTTGGAATTTTTGAGTCTTCTACAAGGAAAAAGGCAGGAAACACAGACAGGTGTTTGCTCTCAGCAGTAAGACAAAGAACTAGAGGGTTCAAGGAGTTCATGGAGAGGAGGAAATTCAGGACAAGTGGGGTCCTTGACTTACTAGTTGGAAAAGAATTTCAGCCCGTGCTAGTTAGAAACAGAAAGATTTATTTAAGGAACTAGAAACACATTCAAGACAGACAGTAGGCTATCTCAAATGAGAGATGCATTTTGGAGTAAAGCAAGGAATACACACTCAAGGGAAAATGTGGGGCATCTTCAGAGTGAGAGATACTTTTATGTTTCTCAGGTTCTTCTTTTAAAGGATATTTGTGAAGGGTGGTCATGGAAAGATCTGTGAGGATGACAGCAATCTGGTGATCACAAGAATGTTTATAATCTTTCTTAGTGTCTTTAGGCTGTTGTAATCTTCATTATCTTATCAGTAGCTAGCCATTGGAAAGTATATTACAGGTTTCTTAAATTATAAAATACACTTCTCCCTCTCTCCCTCCCTCTCCCCCACCCCCCCCCCCCCCCCCCCCCCCCCCCAGTACTGGGAGACCTGGAGGTGCTTTACCACTGAACTACATCCCCATTTTTTTTTATTTTGAGACAGCTCTCATAAAGTTGTTTAGGGACTCACTAAGTTGCTGAAGCTGGCTTTGAACCTGCGATCTTCCTGCTTTAGCCTCCCAAGTTGCTGGATTCCAGGTGTGTGCCACTTTGGTGGCACATTTTGTGTTAGAGGAAAAAAGAGGAGGCCTGCCAAGACCATGCAGAACAGGAGTCCTGTATTTTTCTCCAAAACCAGGCTTTTGCCCTGTGGAGAAAGCTCTGGAAGTACAGAAAAGGTCTGAGTTAGGGAGAATGAGTTTTAGGAAAGAAGGCAACACCCATTTTGACATTGATAACCAAGACAGAATGATTCGTGGTTTGACCTGTGTGTATCACGTGTCTGTGACTGTGTCATCCACTACTTTGGATCCTCAGGAGCTCACCTCTGCCCACAAAATAAGGTTTTGTGCTAGTAATAAAGTTACAGGGAAGCATGAGAGTTGGAATAAGGAAAAATTATGTCACTGTCAAGTTAGAATTTACAATCATGATTTGTTTACAATAGAATTTATGACTCAGTTGATTAGAGTTTTAGTATAGAAGTGAAAGTACAGAATATGCTCTGGAGATGGAGGTTGGTGCTATAAATATTCCTGTATAAAAAGGGTACATGATACTGTGGCAGTTATAAATTTTCATTTTGATTCTTCAACTCAAGAGAACAACAACAACAACAACAAAAAAGCTATCTTAAGTATATAAGTTGTCAATGGCAAGAATTAATAGAAATCAGTCCCCTTCAGGCCTTCTCAAGTCTGATACTGTAGGTGATGAATTGTTCCTATGCATTTCAGGATTGGGAGTGCAAATCTATGCCTGGAAAACATTTTCTAGTTCACTACCATTAATCTGGTGTTGTGACACTTAAGCAGGAAGTATTGAGGTCCTCTTACACTACTGACCCAGAGGAATAGTTCAATGATGTTTTGTGCCAGATTTTAATGGTAACCTCAGCCACACTTGTGGAAAGGTAACATGAACTTGAATAGAACATAATTTAGCATTAAATGATGTGTCTGTTTCAGCATCCATTCCATTCTCCTTTATTAACATGAAAAATTTAGAGGCACTTCCACTGGAGAAAAAAAGCTACCTCTGATTAATCATTTGAGAATATTTTATTTTTCATTTCATTTCTTTTTTTAATATTTATTTATTTTTATGTGGTGCTGAGGATCGAACTCAGTGCCTCACGTGTACATGGCAGGTGCTCTACCACTGAGCTACAGCCCTCATTTCTTTTCTTTTTTTCTCATAGGGCTGCAGATCAAACCCAGGGCCTCAAGCATGCTAGGCTGTCATCCACCAGTGAGCCACTTCCACCCCCCAAAATGTTTTCTTTTTTTTTTTTAAATAATATTTATTTATTTATTTATTTTAAGTTTTCGGCGGACACAACATCTTTGTTTGTATGTGGTGCTGAGGATCGAACCCGGGCCACACATATGCCAGACAAGCACGCTACCACTTGAGCCATATCCCCAGCCCCTTCCCCAAAATGTTTTCATTCGATTTTTCTAACTGGGTTTGTTTCCCTTTCCAGCAGAGATCACCACCATTCCCAAGGCTCTGGTGGGCTGTACCTCTCAAGTGACAATGGTCAAACTAGCACTCTGACTTGGATTCTAACTTTGTTTCTGATCTGGGGACCCTCCTTCAGCAAAAAGAACAAATTGCCCCCAAAATTATGATAGCTAAAAGATAAGAGCTTCTATGTAAAGAAGTCTATAGATTGACAAACATAATTAAAGCTCAAAATGATCAAAGAGGCAGAACACCTGAACAGGCACTTCATAAGAGAAGAAATATGGGTGGTATACAACTACTTAGCAAATGTTGAACTTGAATAATTATTTTTTAAAAATTTCAATGATAAGTGATTTATCACAAGGACATGACAATATTCAATATTGTGGAAGTTGAAACAAGCATTCTTTAAAATGCTGGTTGCAGGGGCTGGGGCTATAGATCAGTGGCAGAGCGCTTGCCTAGCACATGTGAGGCACTGAATTCAATCCTTCGCACCACATAAAAAAATAAATAAAATGAAGGCATGATGTCCATCTACAACTAAAAAAAAAAAATTTTTTAAATGTTGGTAGCATCCCAAATTGATTCACAAACATATTTGTCACAATATTATTTATGATATTAAATAATAATGTAATAAAACATAATATAAATAATAAACAAAAATGATAGATTAGGATTTAGCTATACCATATATTGCAATATATATTGAATATGTGTATATATCTACATACCATATATTTTATGTATATAATATACACCAATAACAATATTTTTCAATGGGCTGAGGGTGTAGAACAGTGGTAGAGTGCTTGCGTAGCATGCAGGAGGCCCTGGTTTTGATCATTAGCACTACAAAAAAGAATATTGTTTAAGAAGCATTTCCAATGACATTAGAATATACTCATGCTATAATGTTCACATATAACTATGTAAAAATATATTTATTTTTGTCGTGATCTCAACAATGTATAATATTATAATAGAAGGAAAAAAGTATCAAGCTGAGATACTGATTCTGAAATTTAATGAGATGCCAGGTAACCTTAGGCAATTCACTTTATTCAGTGAGTTTCAAGTCTCTCATCTGTAAACAAGAACACTAATATTTGTTCAGGAAGCTGTTGCCAATATTCACTGAGGTATTAAGTTTGTTAGTCCTGTATTGGACACATAATAAGTTGCAAATGTTATTATTTCATTTTTATTCAGACTTCTTCATTTTTGTAAGCAAAGTGTTTATGATTGTACCCTGAATGTCTTTTGCAGCCTTAATTCCCACTTCCCTCTTAGTATAACTTGTACCTTCATCAAGCTACACTTGCACAGATTTCTACACTTGATCTTAGCCACAAGTTCAAGAAACAATAACTCCTACTGGTTTCTAAACATACTTCTAAACTTTTCTTCTAAAGTTTTCTTCCACTCCTCTCTCACTATCAAAATGTTACTCAGAATCCAGCAATTCCACTCCTAAGTATATAGTCAAGAGAAGGGAAAACAAATGTAGACACACACACACACACACACACACACACGCACACAAAAAAAGAGAGAAGAAGAAGAAACATATTTTTTCACAACAGCCCAAAGGGAAGACAGTGGAGACATCTATGCACTAATGGGTAAATTAGAAGAGGTGTATCCACATAATGGAATATTATTTAGCACTAAAAAGGAATGAAGTACT